TCTGACCTGGTTTTTCAAAGATCTCCTGAAAAACCAGGCTGTGAAATTTTTTTGAAACTTGTTTTTGCTTATAAAAATATGGCTTTAAGTGTCCTCTATACGATGGTGAAAACCGCAGGCCGCTAAGGCCTTTCGTTAAAAAGTTATTTGAAAAACGGCAACCGGCACGACCTTTCCGTTTCGATAGTAGTTTCTGTGTGCCGACCAAAACCATGTCGTTTATGAGAGTTTCAACAGTTCTAGTGAAAAACTAACGATTTTAGAAGCCATTCAGCCACAGTCACAATATTGTGAGCCTATCAAAGGGCTAATCTATGGAAAACGTGGAATTCAATAACTCGGGAATGGAATGAGTTGTAAAGCTGGAACTTTTTATGAATATCACAGACATATAGAAGAGCCATAGAAAGAAATTTGGGTTCTTAACTACTTTTCTTCATAGAGTTATGAATCTTTTACAGATAAGTTCATTCTGAAATCCAATCATTTCCGGTCTCAAATGTCACTTTTCTAATGCAGAGAAAGCCATAGCCTTACTTACTGCGATGAGTCACAAGAAATATAGTTTTTAATTTGAATGATAACGCAACTACACCCAGTAACGCTCTAAATAATTTTCAAATGTAAAGCAATCGAATTTGAACTTGAACATGAATACATCTTCTATTTATATTAAAACTTCATGCATTTCTATCAGTTTGTTTTCGCTTTTCCATTGTCAAAGATATGTGCATCATACAACTCCGTTAACGTTAAATCATAAGAATGTGACCATGAAGAGAAGTTACTGGCACACTCACGGTAAATCGAATGAATCTTTCTCCGCGATGCCTTTTGTTATGCATTCGATAAGAGCCCCTCGATAGCAGCAGTGCGCTGACGTATTAGGATCGAATAAGATATGAAGTCATGACGATCACACTAATTAAACCGTGATACATTGATAAAACCCTTCCTTCCAACAGAGAAATTTTGATTTCATTGGAGAACGTCTGTATGAATTTATCAAGAATTTTCTATTAAAAAGGACTCTGTCAACATACAGTCCATAGTTAAATTTCCTATAAATTCATCACTCATTTTCCATTTTCTATTGAACCTGCATTTTTTCTATTATCTATAAATTTCTTTAGATATCAGTTTTTGGCTACTTAAAAATTCGTCTGAATCGACGACTTTTTTCAAAGACGTACACTGATGCCTAACGAAATTTATAGATAACAGAAAACCAACAACAAATTGATAGAAAACCCGACTAAAATATATCAATTTTAAGAAAAATGTTGACAGAGTTCACTGAAAATTGAATTTATATAGGAAGTCTCCGAAAATCGAAATTTTTATTGCTGCAGAGGAGACAATGCTATTGCTGTCATAGGCTAACATTGCTTCCTCTTTTTGTTTTCATTGTGATGCTCAGAAAGACTTGACTCAGTCCTTGTTGAATCTACGTTCTTCGAGTTGCGTTTTTTGGTTTCGACGTTTTGTAAGATTTTATTCTTTGCAGTAAAATCTATGGAGGCTGGCATATTGGCCTAAGTTTCTGTACCTGGAGGCCAATGATGATATTCAGCTGCTGTTGTGGCAGCGGTGGTGAACGATGATACAGTTGACGAAATTGGATGTTTAGTGGGATAGTCTAGACCAGTATTCGTGTCGCGTTTTAAGTGTTAACCTCCATAATCTGTGGAATGATGTCTTGTAGTTCACATAGCCAATGTATTACACGTTTGTTATTAACTTGTTTTTTGTGTAAGTTAGACAACGGTGCACACAAAGTTGTGAATCACCGATATATTCACGAAGTTCTTTCACACATCCGTAGATGGCTAATGCTTCTCGTTTCATTGGATCGTAACGTTTGTCGATCACTTAATGTTCAAAATTTATAATAATAAATTTGAATGTCATTAGAAGTATTTTGACGTAATATGCCACTTATATTATTATAGTTGATGCATCATCTGATAAAATAAATGGTACCGTTGGATTAGGATATTGCAAAAATATTGGCTCATTGGTTAATAGTCGTTGGAATTTATCAAATGCGTCGTGCTGTTCTTTATGTCAATAAAATTTATGTTTAGTTTTTTTTCTTTATTCGTTACTTTATGGACTAGTGCTGCAATTTCTGAAAGATATGGAATACATTTTGTGTACCAATTTAAGTTGCCGATGAATTCATTTGCTTCATTCAGTGTTTATGGTAGTGATAGTTCAATAATAGCTTTAATTTTTCCTGGTGACGGCTTAATTTGATCATTGGCAATAATGTGACTTAAAAGTTCAATTTGTTCAACTGCAATAGAACAAAATAATACGGTCCTCGTGGTTGAATGTATCTGATTTGTTGAATTAGTTTATCAATTTTTGTAAAATTATTTATTGTATCAAATGTTAAATGACAAGTATAAACGGATGCTGATGAATAATGATGATTTTTTATTTTAGTTAATAATTGATCAAATATTGTCGATGATGATGATGATGTTATTAAATCATTAAAGCAAAACAATATTTGTTTGCTGTCTTTTGAATAATATAATGATCGTAACAACGTGACACTCGTATCTTGTTGTTCATCATCATTATCATTAATGTTATCATCTATTATTGACAATATTTTATTTTCCATTGTCTGTTTCATTCGGGCATTATCGTCATCATCATCTAATATAATTGGTTCTGATAATTTTGAACGTTCAGTTAATTTTGTAAAAATTTGTTGTGCAAGTTGTTGAATTGAAATACCTTGTAATAATTCATTTAATGATGAATGAATGTTAAACTCTTTTTCTAACCAATTATATACGGCAACAGCCATTAACGAGTCCATACCCTGTTCACTAAGAGACATTTGTGTGTCAATACGATCAATTGTAATTGCTCCAAATATTTGTGAAATAGCTAGACGTATTTTGTTAACAATTGTGTCAATATCATCAACTGCTGACAACGATAATACTATTCCATCACCCTTATTTTTATTTTCATTATTTATTTTTAAATCAAAGTGCTTTTTGTCAACCAAATCAACTATTGTTGATGGTAAATACTTCCCTTTTGAATGTAATATTTCCCAATTAACAGCAAGTATGACTGGTGAACAATAACTATATTGTTGTTGTTTTACATATAACTTTTCAATTAATTTAAATATGATTATGGGTGTCAGAATTTCCATACCCTCTTTTATTAGCTGATTTTCAAGTAATTTACGATCTCGGTGAAATGCACCTACTTGCGAAATTGTTGGTAGACTGATCGATAATGCGGGCATTTGTTTACAATGATATCTCCAATAGGCTAATGCATCAAGAAATTGATTTCCAGCATTATAAGCAGAACCACCTAAATCTCTAAGATGATTTCTTACTGATGATAATAGAATAAAAAAATGTATTGGACTTTGGGTTGCGTAAGTTGCTTGATGTAAATTCCATGCACCACGAATTTTTGGTTGCATTACTTTTGACAATGATTCTTGTGTCATATTTTGAATGAGTCTATCGTGTAGAACGAGAGCTGCATGTATTACACCACAAACAGGATATTGCGTTTTATTGATTTCTTTTACCAAATTTAATACTTGCCCGTATTGTGTTACATCACACTTACGAATCTCAACTCGAACGGTGTTCTCATATTCGGTCTCAAACATGTGTTTCAGGTTAAGCCAATCATTTAGTTGATAACTGTTGCCTAATTCAAATTCTTCTTGGGATTGTCTTGCCATTAGAACAATTCGTTTTACACCCTTTTCCTTGATCATCCATCTTGACATTTCCAGTGCAACACCACCTAAGCCCCCTGAAATTATGACTGTACCTGACTGACAAACCAACGATGTGAACATTGCACCTGAAAATAATAAAACGAAATCGACGCTAGTATACATGCTGTATGCCAAATTTGTTTTCTAAACGGCTGATTCAAATTTCACGATTCTGTCGGGTTTTAATGATCCCAAGCCCTGCTCATTCAAATGATCCGCTAACGGCAGTGCTAATATACTAAGGTATACGAGCAGTTTTTGAATCTCAAAGCTCAATTTCTAAATTTTAAATTGAAATTGAAAAATCAATACAGATCGATTATTCAAGAATTTCTTTACAAAATGAATCAGTTTAAACAAACGTCTAGAAAATTACATCAATGCAAAACTATTATTAAGAAAAAACTTTTCAATAAGAACTAATATCTCAAAAACCACGGTTTTGCACACATCCTATAAAATGAGGCTTTAAACTTTTGAGACAATCATTTGAATGAGCAAGGTATGAAACCATTAAAACCTGACAGAATCATGAAATTTAAATCAACCGTTGTCATGCAACACGTCAAATTGAAATTGACAAAGAATATAACCTTACTGTATTCCATCTCTTCTGCTTCCGCTTGTAATTCTTCAGTTAAACCACAAATTCTTACTGCTACTTTTCCAATGTGATTAGCTTGATCATAAATGCGAAAAGCATTAATCACTTGTGACGGTTCATAGATATCAACTGGTTGAATAGATCTCAACTGTCCTCGTTCATACAGTTTTAATACTTCTTCAAGGATTAGTGATACCATTTCCGGTTGATTTATTGCATAAGTGTGTAGATCAATAACATAAAATGTGCAGTCTTGTCTTAATTGAAACAAAGATATTTGTGTTTGTGAATAGATGTCACGTTTACCAATCTCAATAAAATGACCACCCGATGAAAGTAGTTTAACTGATTCTTGTAAATAAACACTAGATAATGAATTAAGTATGACATTTACACCATTTGGATATAACTGCCGGATTTGATGTACAAATGATAAATCTCGACTATTAAAAACATGTTGAAGACCATATTGTTTACGAAGAAATTGTCGTTTTTCTTCAGTGCCTGCTGTTCCAAGAACGATGGCACCAATCATTTGACAATACTGAATAGCAGCTCCTCCAACCCCACCAGACGCCGAATGTATCAGTACCGTTTGTCCTTGTTTCAATTGCATACGTTCTTTAAAAGCAAGAAAAACTGTCAAATAACTACTTGGGATTGTTGATAATTGTTCCATTGATAATTTTGTTAAAATTGTTGATGATACACGAACAATATTTGTTCGATTGATAACAATATGTGATTTAAATGCCCCAATATTAGATGTCATTCCAATAACAATATCGCCCACATTAAATTTGTCAGTGATGTTTGAACCAATTTTTGTTATTGTACCACAGAAATCAGAACCTAATTCTTCATCTCTAGCATTACCATCTTGTTGTTCATAAGAAATACCAATTTCTTCTATATGTGGATGCAACCCACGTGCTTTTAAAATATCTCTAAAATTAATTCCAACTGAATGAATTTTAACTTGAACATCGGTTGGTTTTAATATTTGATCATCTTTTGTTGTTGTTTTATTAACAATCCATTTTAAATCAGATAACAATCGAGATTTTGGTACTTTTAAATAAAATTGACTTTTGTGTAAATCTAAATTTGGTTGAATACCAACATGTTGAATATTCTTTGCTTCACATTCTAATTGTTTAATAGGATCAAGTGTTGGTATGTAACGTTGTACTATAACATGATCAATTGTTTTAATATGTTGAAACAATATAACTTCATTATGTTGTTTAGGGGATGAAATTTCATCATATATTTTATTAATTAAACATGACGTTAAATTGTCTTTAAATTGAAGATCAATTAATCTCAAGTGATGTTTGGGATATTCAGCAAAACCCGTTCGTGTAAAACCAATGATAGGTGATTCAACAAAATTATATTCATTTGTACTAATAATTGGTGATTGTGCATTTTGAGTAAAAACAAATATATTCGGCGTTTGTTGATGTTGTTGTTTTAAAATTATTTTAATAATATTCATCAACGTTCCACAAACGAGTTCTTCTTGTGACCGATAGATTTCTAATAAATTGTTTTCATCGCCCGTTAATCGCTCTAAATCGAGCGCCCATAGATAGACAATATTAATCTTTACGTACTGTTTAGAAATTTGTTTCAAAAAATTTTCTATATCATTTGCACAAGTAACTGTGACATGATGATAAAGACCATCCGTTGAACTTGTAACTGAATTTGAGACTAGTATTACATTTGAAATTTTCTTTTGTTTTTCCAAATATTGTACTAATGTTAAACCAATTTCTTTTTTTTTATCATAAAAGATTAGCCAGACTTTTTCTTCTTTCACAGTATCGATGGCTGATTTTTTTGCTAATATCGTTGATTCACCGACTAACATTGTGGTTGATTGAAACGATTGAAAACCACCAACTGTCTTGAATAACTCTTGCCATTGGTTGATAGACAGTATAGCATGTTTTGTCGGTTGTCTTATTGAATCATCTATAGATGCCCACCATTGTGGTAATATACCAAAGATCAAATCACTATATGTAAAAGCAGATGTAAGTTCAATCAAGAATAAAACACCATTTGGTGCAAGTAACTGTCTTAAATTCGTTAATGATTGACAAATGTTCATTACTACATGTAAAACATTCGCAGCTAATATGACATCAAAGGATTCATTGTTTGCTATATTTGTCGTATTATTTAAATCTAATACTTGATAACAGATATTTAATAGATTTTGTTGATTTCTTTCATCTTTCAATAGTTTAGAAAATTTTTCATTTGCTGTTTGAAAAAATGCTGGTGAAATATCGGTAAATGTATATTCAATTTTTGTCTGCGTCCGATAAGCAAAATCTAATAGGTAATTTAAAAAGGGAACAGTAGATCCACCAGTACCACCACCCACTTCTAATATTTTTAACACATATAAAAGATTGTCATCATCATCTTCTTTTTGTTTGTGTATTTGTTCATTTAAATGTTTTGTTATACCCAAAGATACTGAATTAATCATTGTTTCTGTGAAAATTAGATACATCTCTTGCATTAATAATTGACTTTCTTCTGTACCAAATAATAATTGTAAGGGATCTAATTCTCCGGTCAATATTTTGAATAAATTTGAACCACAAGATGATACTATTGATAGAAGAGGTTTTAACGAAGGATATTTTTTTAATAAATTGATATATTCCATATGAATTGTATGTTTATTAATTGTTGTTAAACCTTGTAATACTAAACCATTATGATCAATGAATTTATTTTGATATAATTGTTCAGTAAATGTATCAATCAATAATAAGTAATGTTTTTCTTTAAATAAATGTGATAATTCAATAGAATTAATTTTAATTAATTTATTTGTATTTAATAGTTGTTCAAACATGAGTATAACATAATTTATAGCCAAGATGTTTAGTTCATTAGATTTTGTTATCTGAATCCAATTTTTATCGCTCTCACTTTGACCATTTTGAATTAGTTGATGAACAGTTCTTAATATTCCTGTTTCATTATTTTCAATTGTTATATCCATAATTTGATCAGACATAGGCAATAAATCAGCACAGCTTTTATAATTATTTGATTGTTTCCAGTTTATAGATAAACAATAATTATTAAATAAATAATCAGTTTCACGTTCATAATTCTTAAAAGTTGGAATATATGATAGGTCATCGATATCGTCAAATATAGATACTTCATTAAGACATTATTCCGAGAGGACGTTAGATAAAAAAGGAGGAGGTAAAACGACATTTACTTCACACTATTTATCAACCATGTTAATGACAAGTGAAGAGTAACTACTAACTAAGTAACTGAACTAAACTGGCAGAAAAAAATTTTGCCAAGGTTTCCTATGTTCTCCATAACCTAAAGTTTTCCAAACGGTTCTACGTGTGATGTAAATGGTATGCTGCACAGTGGACAATTTTCTAATAGTAGGCGGACATCTGAATTTTTTGCTCATAAATTATTTTTTCATCAATGATTATCATTACTTAGTCGTCTCTAATGCTTTTAGAGAAAAAATAAAGTATTTTTTTCAAAAAATCAGCCTTGCTGCTGCATGAGAGAAGATTTTCATGAATGTTTTTTGGATCGAAAAATGCTTGTAAGGTTCATCGATCGATGCAGTTTTTGATGCTGATTGCGAATATGACATTATTTTCCAATAAATGCGTTTCTGTACCGAGAAACATGGAAAATATCAATATCAATAATAATTTTTTTCTGTCTGATTATCGATCCAAATCTTAATGATTATTTACTAATAGATAATTAAATGCGTCTAGATTTCGAATATATACTTTTTATAATTTTGAATTGGCTTGATTCAATAGAAAGATTGGTTTTTCCGCAAATGTCACTAATACATAGGCTATTTTTGTTTCTATTTTCTTCCGAAAGTTCATCAACTGAAACAAAAAATTTTACGCCATAAGATAGTCCATCATTCAAAGTATATCCGACATTATATGGATTTCGAAAAGGCGCACTTTCGAATTTTTACTAAATGTTCGCATGACTCCTCATTGTGATTTGTAGCCAAAGTGTCATTTAAGCAAATTAAAGACACAGGAATATATTATTATTTCTATCGTATATTTCGATTCTTCGTTTTTGTTCTCCTATCCTTATCGTAAGACGTAAAATAATTAATACAAATACTTTTTGCTAGTGCAAAATACAATAAATGACCAAGTCAAACGTGATTTGTTTATATGCCAATTTGTAGAGCTCAACGAGCTGACATAATGCTGTCAAGTGATTTTCCAATAGGCCTTATTGGAAAAGCTACTAGCTGTTCCAGTCAACATGAAAAAATAAGAAAATAGGAAAATGAGTAGACTGTGGTGCCCCAGCCGAGAACCCTGAAAGCTAGATCAGTTCTACGTTTTGAAGCTTCATTTTAAGACCATCATTGAGAGACTTGGATTTCAAGAAAAATTTAGTTTCAAATGGCTAGGTTTTTACCGTTGGTTAAGTCACACTCGACTGTACGTTCTCACTTGTTAAACTGATACAGAATGATTGAAGCGTGTTTTTACTTTGCGTGAATATCAGTATTGCTACTAATCAAGTATACTGCGAGTATAGAAGATAAATGTTTCGCTCGAGAGTGCATTCATAAGAACGCTATTTTGTACGTTATGTTATTCAAAAGTTGAAACCATTGCTCGATCTCACGTTCCAAAAATATAACAGTCTGTCTTATTCTTCTCTCACGCGTTTTCTTAAAAATTACGATAATCAGCGAGCTAGTGAAAGTGATAAGTGGTGCAAAAATGTTCAAAACATAATCTCTGTTGGCAATGGCTTCAAGAAATAAACGTACTCTCATCACAATTACCATATGAACAACTGTCAGTTCCATACGACCACTTAGAGCTAAAATCTGTCATTATAGATCATTAGGATGAGCATCAAGTGTGTTCGGTATCTCTGGGACTTCTGGGCCTAAAAACGTACATTGAATTCAGTTTGTTTAATTGAAGACAGAAACCTTTTTCATAAGAAAGGTACCTAACTGAATCTTCGGTGTACCACTTCTTGTATTTATAAATTTCACATTTCAATTCGACGATTCTAATCATAATGATCTCTTTGGAATCCATATTTCGATAAGAAAAGATGACAACATACTCCCTTCTGTGTCGATCCATGCCACTTAGTTCTAATCTTTTACTCCCTATCTATGGATGGCGTCATTCGTACACGGTTCTCAGTAGGGAAAAAAATATTCCTCTGTACTTGATGATCTATAAGATAAGCATGTTTTGCTGTTTGTAAATTAATTATTGATTTCCATGTTGGTAATTGTTGGTTTGACCATAAACGCTGACCTAATAGTGGGTGACATTCTTGTCTTTTA